CTCTTTTAAATAAAATTGTATGTTATTGTTTATCGATTGACAGATCTTCATGTACTCTTAAAAATTAAAAAAAGTATTACTACATTAATTTTTTGTGCCAAAGATAGTATATTTCTTTTTCTTCCAAAAATATATATGTATTTCTGTTAATCCGAAATTAATAAACAAACTTTATTAACAAAATTGTGTTTTATTTCATCAGACAATGAAAATCTCAACACACGACGTTTACAACTTGCCCCACGACGGGGTAAGAAATTCCGCTTGAATTAACCACAAAAAAAAAAGAACGAGTTTCAATGAAAAACTTATTACAATATATTAAATTAGAATTGACAATCTTAAAGTGGAATAAATTTAACAATAAATTACTCAGAATCTAAAAAAGTAACTGCATTATTTCTTAGTCAATATTTATATTTTGGTAAAATCGGAGCTTCTAGCCCCGGTTTCCCCAACGTAAGAAAAGCATTGTAATCGTTGCCCTGAAAATGGTAATTCAGCTTATGTGCTCTTTTTCCATAGAGCGGCTCAATTAAATATCGTGGCGGCGATCGATGCTAAGGCGCGAGAAGTCCGAGAAGAAAGGAAGAGAAAGAGAGCTCGGAGGAAATTCTTTGGGAGCTCGTCGCATGCTGGGGGAACAGCTAACGCGCTCCGAATTTATAGGTGCAATTAATAACGCCTCGCTATTTAGCAAGGCGTGCAAACCGATTGCTTTCATTGAGTCGAACCGGCGCGGAGGCTCGGCTCGGCTCGGCACGACTCGGCACGGTGCGGCAACGCTACATACAATTCGATTTCACGCGAAGCTCTTGACGCGAGCAGCACGGTTCGAGTTGGCCGGAGAGGCTGTTCGGATGCATATGAAATGCGTGTCGTCGACCGTGGAACGAGGCGCAAAGTGCGTGCTGGCTGAAAACGCGCAATCCCACGCGCGAGCGAGTTCCTCGCAAAGGCGAATCCGCGGCGACTCGGCGATTTCGCGTCGGTTCAGGTGTCGCCGGAATACACGTACAAACCTCCACTCCCCACCCATCATCGTTCCTCTCCACCCTGTTTTTGCATCACAGGACTGCCCCCGATGCTCTGCATCGGAGCTGAACGGTTTTTGCGGATCAACGAGCCGAGAGCAAATTATCCACCGCCGTGGAAGTTATGGAGGAAATATTGGAAAGTTCGCGGCGTCGAGTGGCTTTTACCCCGTTTCCGGTACGGCGATTCGTGTGCAACAGCTTGAACGACGATTTCTGGCTAACAGCGACTACAAATGAAATCCCGCCGGAGAATACGCGCCCCACAGTGTCGAAAAGGAGATCGGGAACGTGAGAATAGAACGAGAGGACCGAACGTTCGCGACCACGCCGGCTGGTAGCGTCGGATATATTCGTCGGGTTGCCGCGAATCAGACGTGTTATCCTTTCGTCTTTTTGATAGGTCGTTGAACCGTGACCGCCGACGCTCGAGCAGGCCAATCCGTTTTAATTGAACAATTGTTGCGACGAGGTATTCGCGCGGATTAGAAATTACGCTCTCTTGTCGGCCAGGGGTGTTACTGAAAATGCACGATCAACTCTTTTTGTTTGCTTGAGGGGCTCCCTTGGGAAAGAAGCTTTGTGTTGGGATTGCTAGCGAGATTGTAACAAAAATTATTGTATCGTTTGTGGAATAGTAAACATAATTTGATGATAATTAGAGAGTTTTTCTTGACGATTGATCCATGCTTTGACTGATTTGATAAACTAATGTCCTAAGTTGGTAAGTAAAAAGATTGATACTTGACACCAGAGTTATTCGAATTATTTCGAATAAATATTTATCTGAGATAATTATCCGAATGAATTATTTTTAGTTGAATGTTTGATTCAAATAACGCTGATTCATTATTCATCATAAATTATTCTATCTATATTTATTCATCATAAATTATTCTATATATATTTATTCGAATAAATTATTCGAATAATGATTGACTGTTCTTCTTTCTACGTAATAAACTATCAAAATCATACTTTATATTCTATTCTTATTCGGATCAAGTTTTGTCTAGATAAATTTGTATTCGATTGGATATTTAGTCGATAGAGCGCGTAAAATTTTATTCATTAGCCTTTGTCTCTTATTCGTTAATAAAATTTGGAGCACGAATAGTTTGAATCCTCAAATTACCAGTCCGAACACTATGAGGATCATGCTTCCGTTAGAGTTGCCTGCATCACATTTATGCAGCATGGTTGAATTAATTAATTATTTATCCATGAATGCAAATTAAAATTAAATAAAATTGAAACATGAAACAGGTACATATGTACAATAAATTGAACGCACGTTATAAACGTCGGTATTTAATAGTATCCATTAATTTACTAATGTTGCAGAATAATTATATCGAAGGGAACATACGAAAATTAACATCAAGTATATGTATATTTTCGTTTTACGCTGAAATACATGGTGCATTCGCTAAACTTATTTGTAATTAGACAATTGATATATCTATGTTCCATTTGAATGACTCACTTTAATTTTATGAAATTGCTTTTATATAAACGGCATTGTACTGAGATTGTGGAAATTGCAAACGTGTGTAGGTCGTGTAGGAACACACACAAAGTGTAGAAATAAATATCTTCTTGAAGACAATTCATTACATGCTGAGCATGAGGATTGGAATGCACGAATCAGATTTGCAATTACATAGATATTGCTTATGATTTATCGCCGATAGAATAATTCTGCATAAAGTTGCCCAACTGCCCATAGTTCCATACTCAATGCTACGAACCTTTGACACTGACAATTCTTCACTGTCCAATACTCAATTACAATTCTGAACACAGCTACCTTAATAGGCTTTCGATCGGTGGTTAGGCTTTCAACGGTGACGCATAATGAAATCGTTCGGGCGGATCGATTAAACAATTGTTTGTTAGTCCGTTGAAGGAGTTCGCGTTAATTGAACTGCTTTATTCTCAGTGTGAGAATTAATGGACGTAATAACTACATACTTTTATACAAGTTTCTGAGATCTTGTTCTTTATTCATGAAACGCGCCGAGATACTTAAAAATAGAAAGTGTAAATGTATACTAACACGGAAATAGAATTTCAACAATTTTGTCCAGTTTACAAAGCGGACCATTTAGATAATTTTGGCCAAACTTATCGAACTAAAATTCACTTGCTATAATGATCCGAGATAAGTAACGAACAATCTTAGTTTCAATATTTATAATAAGGAATAAATTTGAACACAACCGAAACTACTATACTTTGTAACAAAACTCATTGCAAACAGAAATATAAGTGTTTTCTCCATACAATCGATAACTTCAATTTCGGTATATTTTACATAAATGTAATATGAATAAATAACTTCACCTATTTCGTATAAAAAGATACATCACTTGTTTGTGAATACACATAATACTGAAATTAACAATCGAAAATAAATAAAGATAAAAGGACAATCGCAACACGAATTAGAAACTAAATTGTTTTCTCTTTGAATAAGATACACAAGCCAATTTCATTTACGATGAAATTTTTGTTTGAATGAATTAACAACCTTCCAGATATTCGAAATTTGCATACTTTCTCTTTTTCCAATAACTTTTTCATTGAATATAAAGACAAAATCAGGGAACTTCATGTTTTATTACTTTTTTTAATTACTCATGACAAACTATCAAAATGTG